GCTGGCTCTCACAGTCCAGCAGTGAAGGGAAGTGCCTTTGCTCAAAGGAGGAAAAGTTAACGGAGGAGGCACCTTCTGAAGTACCAGGTAAGTTTCCAGGGCAAGTTAGCAAAAAGGGTTTTAAGAATAAAAGTAGGGCTGAAGGAAACAATGACTGATAATAGTTAAGCAAGTGAGAGAAATAGCTGGATATTTTTTCTTTACATTTAACCCAAGGTTACCATGTTTTTTCAAAGTATTCAGTATTCAATGAACATGATCAACTACTTTAGTAGAGTTTTATTTTGAAGGACAAACAGAGGACGATGGTAAAAATTCTACTTTTACTTTAACCAAGCCAAGACTAAAACATTTTGAGGTCTGGTGTCTCAACACTTAAAATGCGGGTGGGCAGGGGGAGGTTGCAATGGTTCTGTCTTCTGATATCATTTCAGCATGTTTTCTGATCAACCTAGTCCTCAAAATAAGGTGAGTTCTGTGGTGAAACAAGTTTGGAGAATTTTGACTACTAATAGTACTCTACTCCCTTAGAGATTCATGTGCCACATTCATATATTAAAAATTCTGAGAGGTTCTGTAGAAAAGAAATCTGTTAGGCTTTATTTAACCCACCATTTCCAAACTTGGAAATTCAGCTCTTTTTGAGGGGAACACCTTTTAGTATCCTGGATGTTACTTCATAACCCTACTCTGGGAGTACTGGACTTGAGTGGCTCCTTGCAAGGCCCTTTCTAGATTTAATGTGAGGGCTGAGCTCCCTGTTCACTTCAGAGCCACCTACTTTTACCAGATGCAGCAGGTAAGAGGAAATTACAGCACTGTGAGCACTAGATTTGGAAACTAAAATCTGAAGCAGGACTATCACAGGTATCTTGAGAGAAAAGATAATTAGAAGTCTTTCTTCCTCTCCCCTTTCCTTCCTTGCTTTCAAATTAATCTTAGAAGTATCAGGTCCGATCTAGTATTTTGTTGCCTGTGATACCCAATAAGGAGTCTTGGTGGCACAGTGGTTAAGCACTCGGCTGCTAACCAAAAGACTGGCAGTTCGAATTCACCAGCTGCTCCTTGCAAACGCTATGGGGCAGTTCTACTCTGTCCTATAGGGCGGCTATGAGTTGGAATCAACAGCAACGGGCTGGATATCCAATAACCAATATTTTTGAAATGGACTTTAATAAGTCTTTCCCTCTAAGTGCATATTTTCTTTAAGTTAATTTGAACTATAGCTTCTTGAAATATTCAGCTTCTACCAGTATGTGTCAGTGAGGCTATTGTGCATTTAAAAGTAATAATAAACATTTTTTCCCTAGAGAACAGAATTTTGTAGTTTAAAAGTATCCAGTTTAAAAAATGTAATCACTTTAATTGAGCTTCCATGTGGAGAACTAGCCATAGATAGCAAATAAAATGGGGAAAAAACACTTAATTTGAGTGATTAAAGTTTTCTAAATCAAAATCCATAGTTTACTGAGAATACTGAGACAAGGAAAACAGGCTTCTTGTGCTAGGCCTAAATGCTGCTGATAAAAAATAAAAAAAAAAACCTCTTACATGGGAAGTAAAGTGGGTGAAGAGACAAAAATAATTTAGCTCGAAGTACCAAGAGTCTAAATGTCTGCCATTTTCTCATTGTTATTGCCAAAGTGGTTGAAGCATACGAATGAAGTTGTATGATATTTTAATAATGCAAAGTTTCAAATATATAGGGTTATACTGAGAAGGTAAAATAAGTTTTATTGTGCTTGCACATGTTCCTCTTTTTATTTGCTTATTTCTTAATTTAGAAAAGGAAGTCCCATATATATTTTCCCCATTGTTACCATCAGGACCCCCGAATCGCTTGAAAATGTAGTAAGACAAGGTTATAACTTTAAGAATGGAACTATGGTATTTTTTATTCTTTAACAAATGAGGTAGCATTTAACCTTCTGTAGTCTCTAGTGATATAAGGGGACTGGCAAGAACTATAAAAGTTAGATACTGTTCCAGAGGGTGTTTTCAAATAATGGCTTGGCTTTTTTTGAAGAAGTTGCACTAAAGATGACTTAGACTCCTTTCCTGTGGTTTCAATTCATGCAATGTATTTGGCATGAGTTTTTGCCTACTACCATAATAAATTACCACAAATTTCGCAGCTTAAAACAACATAGATTTATCATCTAACAATTTTGTAAGTCAGAAGTCTGGGCTGGCTTAGTTAGGCTCTCTGCTCTGGATCTCACAGGGAAGAAATCAAGGTGTCAGTTTGCTGGGCTTTTATCCGGAGACTCTGGAAAGAATTTGCGTCCAGACTCATTTATGTTGTTGGCAGAATTCAGTTCCATGTCGTGGTAGGACTGAGGTTCTATTTCTTTGATGGCTGTTAGCTGGGGATTGTTCTCAGCTTCTAGAAGCCCCCTTTCTCCATCTTCAAAGCAGGGCTTCAAACTGGATTGTTCTGGTTTGACCTCCTGCTGAGAATTTGCATTTCCACCAGAGCTATGCTGAATCAGAATCTAAATTTTAACAAGATTCTGTCAAAATGCAGATTCTCATTCAGCATATCTGGGGTGGAAAATGCAAATTTTCAGCAGGGGGTTGAACAGGAATAATCCAGTTTGAAGCCCTGCTTCAAAGCCAGCAAGGAAGGGTCAAGTCCTCTGCCTTTAAGCGCTCCTGGGATTAGACTGGGCCCATTTAGAAGATCCTGGATAATTTCCTTATTTTAAGGTCAGGCCATTAGCAAGCTTAATTTCATCGCAAAGTTTTTTGTTTTTCTTAAAGATCAGATTAAAACAAGGAAGACGAGAGGTATCCCCATCTCTTCTCCCACTCTTGCAGTAAATTATATGCAAATATGAGACACTGAATGGAAGAATCAAACATTTATCCTGTTGATTGACTGTGTGCAATGTTACGATATCAAACGATTAACAACACATATATGCCGATATGAATTAAGACCTTACTTGATAAGCCATTCAAAGTGTTGTTTGCTGTCTGAGCACCCATAATCAGTGGTCCAGGCATGACCGATGGTATACTTATGGAACTTCAGCATGTCCATTACTCCCACTTGGGCAATAACACAACCAAAAAGATCAGGACGCTGATTTGCACATGCAGCTAAAAACCAAGATAGAAAAGGAGGGCAAATAAAACTAAACAAATAAAACTAAACGAAATACATCTAAATGTTTTCAGAACCTTGGTTGACTTTTTCCTTACAGCACAGAAAGAAACCATCAGAAACCACCTGCCTAATGGTTCACAGGCTTTTTCCCCCTTCCAATATCTCTGAGGGTTGAGATAATCTCATCAATAATAGAGACTTACCCTCTAAAGTGAATCTCAATGGGGAGTGCTACCTGATAAGCAACGAGGTCATTCTGAATGTGTCCCTTACTCCCATCCCCACTTGCATACACAGGTGATGAGGGAGGTTAACAGACTTGTTCAACATCTCAGAACCAGTTCAAGGCAGAATTGGGTCTAAAACCCAGCCCAGAGCTCTTAACAATATTGGTACATCATCTTGTCCTGTTTTTAAAATTCTCTTCTTCATATACTTAAATCTTTTTTGGATCACTCAACAAATAATTGTTATCTGCCATGTGCCAGGCATGAGACCTGGGGATAGATTAGTGAATAAGACTGAATTTAGTGGAAGAGATGAAGATGTGAACAAGCAATTACAACAGTGTGGCAATCACTATTGCTGAGAAAGTTCAGATACTATACAAAAGGAGCAGAGGTATACCTAACCCAGTGTAAGACTGTCGGGGAGGCTGTGGGAGGAAGTAACATCAAAGCTGGCATGTCTAGGAGTTAGTCAAGGGATCCGAACTTGTCCTGTCTCTAGCCAAAAACATAGTTCCCACCCTCAATTCTGATTTCAGTGGTTATTAATAATACTTAATCCCAAGCCCTACCATTGGAGACCTCAGTATTCGATAAATATTTGTTGAATGAATGGGTCAAATTCATCATTATTTGGTATTTAAGAATTTTACCAATACCCTTTACAAATTTAAGCAAATTATGTTGAACCTTTGTATTTCACCTCCATTGGAAAATTTTTTTTCTAGACTATAATCAATGGAGGTAGCTAACAAACGTTAAGTTCAGCCTGTATGTGCTATTCTACAGACGTGCAATAGACCCTAATGACATTGGATGTAGGACCAGCAAAGATCAGGGTCACCATAAGTGTTTATTATAATATCGTGCTATTGCAAGAAAAAAAAGTAAAATTTTATTAACTATCAAAAATTAGGAAAAGCTACTTAGAGAAAGTGACATGTAGAGGTGAAAAGAACAGTATCTAAAATCACAGTGCTAGACTCAAACCACAACATTATCGTTTTCCAGTTGTGTGACACTGCACAAGCTACTCAAACTCTCTATACCCCCGTTTCCTCCTCTATAAATGGGGATAACAACCGTACCTACCTCACAAGACTACGTGCACATCAAACAAGAGAGTGCATGTCAAGGGCTTTGCACTGGACCTGGCACACAATATGCTCAGCAAGTGTGAACTATTTCATTGCTATTAAATTGTGAATGCTCCATCTTTGTGTATATGTCATTTCCCTTCATGACCTATCCCTCTGTATCCACAGCATTTAACATCACAGGGCGTAGGTACTCAACAACTGTTAAGTGATGATCACATCTTACAAGTTCTAAATAACACAATCAGGAGGGTGATCTGATTCAGTCCTATGCTGGCGGAACCTTGGCAACCTGTGGCTCCAGTGTGTGGGGAGAAGAGCTCAGAGCAGGTGGTGGGATCAAGAGGTGGGGCAGCTTTCCAGGCTATCATGAGTCAAGTTAGTATGATACGGGTTTAAGTCTTTCTTTAAATATTATTTATCAGATGTATAAATATAAATGTGTTTTGCTTTTTCTGCACCATTGCTCCCATCCATGAGCCAAAGTAAATCGAACACTACCTACAGACATCATCATGTAGGGTTAACTAATAAGTACAATCAATAAAATCCAGTTCTTACCCACTAACAGTCCTCCATTTGAACCTCCATTAATAGTCAGCCTCTTGGGAGATGTGTAACCTTCCTTTATAAGATATTCGGCAGCAGACTGAAAATCATCAAAGCAGTTTTGTTTGTTGGCCAAGATACCACCTACAATGTGCCCAAATGAAGACAATTAGTTAAAAAACAAATAAAAACATAACCATTGAACCTAAAGGGAGTTCGGATGATGATAGGGCATAGTTTCAACTACTGATTAACCTAAACAACTTCAAAACAACCGGCTAATAATACATTTAAAAATGCTTCCGTTTAAATTTTGTTACATTTTGTGGAAATCCATCATTACTACTACAACTTCTATATTTTGGAGAAGCGGAATTTAAAAAAGAAACAAAAGTTCCAGCAGTGCACAGTCCTCTGACACATGAGGTCAGAGCTGGCAGTTGGCGTAGGGCAAGCTTCCCCTCTGTGAAGACGAAAGCACTTTCACTTTGCTCTCCCTTCATTCTGCAGAAATTTGAAATGGGCAAGTGATGAAGACATTTCTCCAATTTTGCCCTTGCTTACTACTTTAAAGTATGAGCAGAAATTAGGGCGAGGCAGGGCTGCAGCAAAGCACAACAGGTTCTCAATTCTTGAATGAAAGATCTCAATGTAGAGAAGAACAAGGGGGTGCACAGCTCTGAAGGGTGGTCTCTGAAGTTCCTAACTGCAAGAGAAGATACCTCTCGCTGGTGGTAATACCACTGTACCAAACCTCAGAAGTAACTTAAAGGGAGAAATGATTACACAGTCTTAGACTATCTAAATCCCTGCTCTGGGGAGAGACCAAAGTTAAAAGCAACCCCTCAAAGGCACAGATGTCAGAAATGAACTGCCTATGGAATGAACAAAAAGCAGACTGATCTAATTAAATATTAACCACTTTTGCAGAAATTCAATTAAAGATGAAGCAGGGCTACTGAAGAAATGCTTTCATATCAAAAAAATGTTATTAAGATTTTAATAAGAAATTATCGGTGAATTAGAACAGCTAGGATTACTTAGTTTCCAGGAATAATATCATTTTGGGGATGACTATTTTTTTAAAGAGCATTAAATTTTAAACTCAATTAATAGAATGGAATTTAGATTTATCAATGTTCAATATACTGGGGTATAACTGGAAAAGGTCCACTTCCAGCCCATTCACTGCTAACTTTTGAGAACATTTCTGAATCAGTCTAAATACAGATAGCCTATTTTCCGTCTGAGTCGAGTTTTAGCCTCATTTCCCCCCAAGACTTTTAGACAATAAGGTGGTTCTAATTAATACAGAGATTAGAAAAAGAGAGTCAACCAAGACCAAGAATACCCTCCCGTCGGAACATGGTGGGCACCTGATGATCAGAGAGGTTTTTATGGAGAAGAATCCAGGTTTTTTCAGGAAAGGGCCACAGGTTCAGGAATCTGTGCATATGGGCATGTGTTTGAGTACATGTACCACAGACATGCTGAATTGGAAAGCATGGAGAGTTAAGGGGTCCAGACTTAGTATATGAATTAGGAATGTAAATCAAACATATGTTATATAGAGACTTTATTCTAATTTATTCTCCTTTTATCAGGCATCTTTTAATATCTTAGTTTCACAACATGATTTTAGTATAATTAAGCTCTAATATTAGGCAAAATTTACACTGAATTCTATAAAGTTTCAACTATAATGACTAATAAAATCTTTGGCCATGATTCCTGGCAGCAGTTGACCCAACAATGGCAGGCAGGCCAGAGGCCCTACTGATTGCACCTGTTAATTACGATTATTCATTCTTGCTAAGATGCTGAAATACTTTGTTGTCTTATGTCAGCCCCTGTGAAGCATACTGGCTCATGCCTGGGTCCTTCCTACATCTGGACACCTAACAGGTTTAGGAAAATCTCTTTACAGCCCTACCCTTATCTTGGCTGATTTGTCTGTGGAGAAAACCAGAGTGTCTGGGCTCAGGTTTGGGAAGGCAGAGAAGAACAAGTGGGTGCACAGACCTGAAGGGTGGTCTCTGAAGTTCCTAACCACAAGAGAAGATCCCTCTCACTGGTAGTGCTGACCAGCCTCAAGCACTGGTGTCTACCTTCGTCCCGGTGAGATTTTTCATAAATGATGGCTGGTAGAGAGAGGAGAAGCATGCAGTCCCACATCCTCCACCCCAAGGACACAGATCAAGGTAAGTGAAGATCATGCTCTTCAGACCATGTTCACCTGTGGAATATCACCAGCTACCCAAAAACCTGGGGGAGGGAGTATATGCCATATATAAAGAAATGGAAGACAGTAAGGGCTTTGAAATAAAGATTACCATTTTGAATAAAATTGTGATAATCTGGGGTATGAAGCTGAGTACTGAAGCAATATCCTCAATCAATGATAATTCATGCTTCAGGAAGCCAGAGAAAGGAGATGGAATAATTAAAGTCAGAAAAGAAAAATGACTTAGTTCTCGTGTCTAAAACTACACACGATAGTCACAGCAGCATTACTAGCAGGATGCTATTTCTCAGCAATGTTGGGAAGATCAGAGAAAACAAGCAAAAGGATGCCCACATTGGGAATAGGAAAGCTCCGTTTTAGATTGCTTTCCCTCTGAAGAGAAAAATGACCTGTTTTGCAGTCTGTTGAGATACCAAATAATGCTGCATTATAAAAGCAATGCTAACAGGAGACAAAACAAAACAACACTTCTGACAGTGATAGATAAAAAGGCACCCCATGCATTGTTTGAAAACAAGTAAAATAATTTTGATTATGGTCTATGGGAAGTGCTTCTGGGAAATATGTATTTCGCTATAATAAACAGACTACAAATGAAAATGAAATGTGGAAAAGACTGAGTTGTTTTTAAAGGGAGAGTGGTGCCAGCAATATGCTTGCAAACATCCTTATTTTTTGTCTACCCAAAATGCTTTTCTGCTCCAAACCAGTGTAGCTCCTTCAAACAGGAAGGCTCAGCATAATCTTGGTCTGACTACACCAGATTTGTGTTTCTGTAGAGAAAATACCTCACTGCGTAGTCACCCAGTGTTGCTATAACAGAAACACCACAAGTGGATGACTTTAATGAAGAGAAGTTTATTTCCTCACAGTTAAAGTAAGCTAAAAGTCCAAATTCAGGGCGCCAGCTCTAGGGGAAGGCTTTTTCTGTCTGTCGGCCTTCTTCTCTTCAGTGTTCCCCGGACTAGGAGCTTCTCTGCGCAGGGACCCTGGTCCAAAGGATGCGCTCTGCTCTTGGCACTGATTTCTTGATGGTATGAGGTCCCCCTGTCTCACTGCTCACTTCTGTCTTTTATATCTCAAGACACTGCCTCAGGATATAATCCAATCTTGTAGACTGAGTCCTGCCTTACTAACACAACTGCCGCTCATCCTCCCTCATTAACATCATAAAGGCAGGATTTACAACATATAGGAAAACCACACAATACCAGGAATCACGGCCTGGCCAAATTGATGCACACTTTTTTTGGGGGACATAATTCAATCCATGACACTCACCTTTATGCCACGTCTCTCCATATTCACCTCCTCCTCTGATATTGGCCACTGCAAGGACACCACCCATATGCCTCACAAAAATAAGCCTGGACACACTGAGAAACAGTTAAAACAGTTAACCTTTCATTTATCACCTAGTAAGGGCTATGTACTCTCCCTTCATCTCAAAAAATGAATCCTCAAAACACTTCACATGTAATATCATCTAAATAGGAAGCCCTCCCCCGATATGGGGCCCTGGTGGCACAGCGGTTAAGCGTTTGGCTGCTAACCAAAAGGTTGGCAGTTAGAATCCACCAACTGCTCTTTGGAAACTCTACAGGGTCGCTATGAGTTGGAATCAACAGAGCAACAGGTCCCCCTGGATACGTATGGTCTTGCTAGTAGGAAACTCCTAGTCTTTAAGAATACTCAAAGCACCCCTAGAGCTGGTACCCTGAATTTGGACTTCTAGCCTCCTAAACTGTAAGAGAATAAACTGTTTCTTAAAGCCATTCACTTGTGGTATTTCTGTTACAGCAGCACTAGATAATTAAGACAGTGATATTTTACCTTGATTTTTAAAGATAGTTCTCAAACTGTCCTGTGTGTGAGTAGAAGCTGGGAAATTTCTTTAAATTGCAGATTCCCAGGCCTCACCCCAATAGAGTTTAAATCACTTAGGTTGTGGTTTGACCCTGGACTCTGCAGTTTGAAAATAATCCCCAGGTGATTCAGATGCAGGATTCTAAAATAATACGTTAATAAATACTAGTTTACATAAAAATGCCAAAAAAAAGAATACTCACAGAAAATTCCATTTGATACTATGAATCAGATATTAAAATCAAGTTTGCAAATAATCAACAGATATTTATATGTTGTGTGCCCCTGAGTCGCTTCCTACTCATAGTGACCCTATATGACAGAGTAGAACTCCAGGCCTTTTTCCGTTTCAGTTAGCAGTCGAGTGCTTAACCATTGCATCACTAGGGCTCCTTTTAGATACTTATATAAACAATAGCAAATGTACAAATGTAGATTTTTTTTTCTCCCAGAACATAATTTATCTGGGAAATAGTCACAGAAACAATGAGCATAGAACAGTTTAAAATGGGTGAAGTAACAGAATGCGTTATAAACATCCGACTTACATACAACTCGTAGTTACGAACCAACCCCCGTAAAGCCTATTATATTATAAATTCGAGGTACATACAATGGTTTGTAATAACACACGGGCACTACTTTGCAATGCGCATCAAAACATTATTATTATGTTAAAGATGTTTTAGTGTATCTGGAAGTGTTTCTTTAATGTTTTTTAAGCATAGAAAGGTACACTATATACCATATACTAAGACAAACATTTGACTAACTTAGACGTTACATAAGAACAGTACCTAACTGTTCCAACTTACATACAAATTCAACTTGAAGACAGATTTAGGAACGGAACTCGTTCGTAATCCAGGGACTGCCTGTATATAGAATATGTATTTATGGCTGAATATTAAGGCAGCCTATTTTATGACTCTGCACTGGTAAAAAATACAATCATTCACTGAAAACCATTTTCTCTGAAGAGAATACTGTGGACAGTGGGGTGGTAGCCAACGATAAACACTGAAGGTAAGGCTTCCTATCTTAAAGATCTCAAGTGATACCAACCATCTGTAGGCAGGTAGCTACAGCCTCAGCATCTAGTTTTCAACCAATTATTCCATTGATGACACTTTTTTACCAGACTAGCTTGTGATTATCCTGCAATTCCTGACCCAAAATGCAGGTAGTTAACACATAATCTTACCCCTCCACAAAAACAACAAGCAAGAAATAAGGATATTAGAAAAACATGATTTAGTAGAGCAGTCTCTGGTTTCTTTCCATTATGTAGAGAAGATCAGATGCTGAGGTTGCAAGAGTGCTCCATGCTTACCTGTAGTTGGGTGTAATAGATATGTTGAAGCCTCCGTAGCCATATAAGAAAGCAGGATGCGAGCCATCCAATTTTATGCCTTTTTTATGTACAATGAACATTGGAATCTTTGTACCATCCTTGCTAGGGTAGAAAATCTAGAACAAAAGAAAGCAGAATACACAAGGGATCCTAGTACCACTAAACAGCTATTTGACAGCAAAGTATCTTTAAGTTTTTATGGAGTTAAGTGTGGAGTAGTGAAAAGAGCAGAGGTCTGAAAAGACAGACATGGATTTAAATTCCCGTTCCACGTCGAGCTAGCTAGATAACCTTGGGCAAATCATTCATCCTTCCTTAGCCTTAGTTCTTCATCCTCAAATGAGGACTTTATGGTCACTTCTTAGGGCCACCACAAGGATGAAATAACTGATCCAAGGCACAAAGATGAGAGCAGGCATTCAATCTCCGCTCCTGACCACGCTTCCCAACACTGGAAAAAGTCTGATTTGGCCATCTGCCAAGCAATTCAATCTAGGGAGTTTTTTTTTTCTCCTAGAAAACAAATTTCATATTCAGTTTCTTCTCTAAATCCTAAGATGCTCAATACATCTTCATGTTTCCATGTTCAACTATTAAACGTTAACAATATCAAAACATCTATTAGCTTGGAAAGTAGATCAGAAACAAACTAGAAATCATTATTTCCATGATATTAAACAAAGACTTTTCTCCAGTATTGATAATTAGGCTCATCAAACCTTCTAGAACCTGGGCAACCACAGCCAAGTTCAGTCAATATTTCCACATTCATTACTTTTTTGGTAAAAGAATAAGAGACAAAAGGATAAGGTAGAAGATGCTAAATGGTATTTAAGTGATAAGCCACAGAATAAGTGGTAAGTCACAAAAAGCTGATAATGGCTTCTCTCAGACTGAAAAGCTTGTAAATGTTTCTCTTTGGACAAACACGGTATCTTCACCCCAACTGACACCCAGAACGTGCCTAGCTCAGCAATGGCTTGCTGACCTCACCTTACGGTCAAGGGTAAAAGCCGTTACATTTAATGTGATTTGGAGCCATATTGTACGCAAAGCTTTTTAAGGCAGCAGCTGTGTTGTAAAAAGTTGCTGTGATGTCCTTGGCAATAAGTAGTGGGGGATGGAGAGGAGAGAGGGAGAAGCAATGCAGATGTAGAAGCAATGCAGATGTAGAGAAGGGTATTAAAGGACCACGATAAATGTCTATAAGAGTCTGGTAATTTTTTGGAACCTGCCAAGAAATTAGTATTAAAAAAATTTTCTGACTTTAGACACAAATATTTAGATAAATGCAGCAGTCTAGAAATCAGGGAGAATACGCTGTAGAATTCAAAATCATCAGAAGGGAGACAGTTTTATTTAAAGTTATTTAATGCCAGTTAGCAGCCACTAATACAGTGTAACTGTGTGGGTGAGTACAAGTAAATGCAGAGTGAGAAGAAAAAGCTTCAAGTGACTGGTTGGGCTAATGAGCTAAAACAGTGCCTTCAACTCCGAGATGGAAAGCATTTGGAGCACTATAACCACAGAGGGAATAGCACCTAAGGAGCAAACTAGCAAACGGTCTCCCATGACTCTACCTTAACTGACTCATCTGTTCAAAAAAGTGTTCCCTCCAACCATTCCCCAACTTCCCAGTTATTCTCAAATCCCTGCCCCAGCACCTAGTCCTCTCCAGCCCAGCTCAAGCCTCCCCAGGCCGACACCATCCCTGCGGCACCCTGCTTCTCACCCAGACAGCTGGACTGATGCCCGTCTAGTCCCCACTAAGCTGACTCTCAGACCTTCTATCTGTTTCCAAAGTATTACATCTCTTGTTACTTCATGACAATCTGGGTTGTTCCTGTGATACCATTTTTCTTCCTACCACCTGCATGAGGATTACCTATCCCTGCACCTGTCTCATCTGGCTTCATGACAAAGGCATGGATACTTTTTAAAAATACCATCAAAAGCACAAAGTCCCCTTTATGCCCGTAGTAGTAAAAACATAGCCAAGCTTTAAGTTAGTGTGGTTCTGATGTTAAAATAACAGTATTTTGAACAATGTCCAGAAAGTAAAATGGTACTGTGAAGATGATTTTATTGTGGCCAAGAAAACAGCTTACAAGAAGGCTATTTCAGCCTTGAAATATACAAATATATATACCACATATATGTGTGTATATATACGTATCTTGTCAAACCTCTGCACATGTGCATTTGTGCCCGCACATGCACACCCACACACACGTGTGTGTGGCAGTATTCTATGCCATTTCCATTTACAGAATGACAATTGATACCAAACTTAAACCTGACTCCTCAAAGGGCAAACTGAATCCTTAGAATTTTGATAACTAAAGCAGATATCCATGCAGGCATTTTAAAAATAGTTCATTAAAAATAAAACCCAAACCAAACTCATTGCTGTTGAGCCAATTCCAACTCACAGCAACTCTGTAGGACAGAGTAACACTGCTCTATAGGGTTTCGAAAGCTGTTATCTTTATGGAAGCAGACTGTCACATCTTTCTTCGGTGGGGCAGCTGGTGGGTTCCAACTGCCAACCTTTTGGTTAGCAACAGAACATTAACCACTACACCACCAGGGCTCCCACTCATTAAAAACAGTCCAGGAATTTTCCGTCATGCACTTTTTACTTCTTTGACTTAACTGAAACTGGTTTCCTATTATATAGCAACTACTTCCTTTGAAACTTTTCTTTTGGAAGCTTTGGGGGTGTTTCTTTTCCCACTGCCCTAGATCTGCTAGGTTAGAATGGGAAACAAGCACAGTCCTTGCTTCCATTTGCTTCCCACTTCAGCTCCACTTTAGAGTCTACACCTTGAACTTCATTGACTGGGCCTAAGCATCTCGTGACAAGTGTGTTAAAAAAAGCTTCCCAGGCATCATCCTTAGAGATTCTGAGGTGAAGCCCCCAGTCTGCAGATTTAGCAAGTCTCCTAGATAGTCTGATACAGGTGGATCTGGGTTCAAAAAACTAGTTTACTACATTACTTGATCACTTTGATCACCCCCTCTATCCTCATCAATTAATATCAACTAAAACCAGGTATCTTCCCATAGTCCTTGATGGCTTCAATATAGAATTCTATACTTCTCCTTGCCCAGTTTGCCTGCAATTGTCCTTAGTGACTTTAACAAAACCTGGGTTTACCTCATTAAAAAAAAAAAGGCTGTCTGGTATTTCATTATATGAATGTATGCAGATTTCTTTAACCATTTCCTGCCTGATGGATATTTAGACTATTCTTTATTTCTGTCATCAATAATGATGGCACAAATCCCTTGTAGATAAATCTTTATGTGCTCATGCTATGATTTCTGTAGAATATATTCTTAGACATGAGATTGTTAGATCAAAGTGTACATCTATTTAAAAATTCAATAGATACTGACAAATAATTCTCCACAATGGTGTATCAACTTAAGCTCCTCAGTGACAATGTTTACCTAAAGTGTCTATTTCTCACTAGCAGTGAACATTAAAATGGATTTTAATTTTTGCCAGTCTAACAGGCAAAAACTGCTATCTCAGTATTGTTGTAAGTTTCAGTTTTTCAATTAGAAAACACTTTTCATCTATTTATTAGTCATTTTATATTTCTTACTCAGAGAACCAAGTGCGCCCACTCTTACTGTGTTGCTTTTCTGTTCTGATTACTTTGTACAAACTCATCTTACATTAAGGATATTCACCCTTTTCCTCTTCTATGTTTTCCTCATCTTTTCTCCCAACCTATCATCTGTCTAAACTTCCTTTGTGGTATCTTGCACTGTAAGTAGTTGTTAATGGAGCTTATTTTTGCATATGATCTGGGATCTATTTTTTTCCCAAATGACTAACTATTCCAATACCATTTATTGAAGAATCTGTTCTTTCCTCCACTGCTCGGAAATGCTATTTTTTAATTGGTTTCTTCCCTGGGCTCATCATTCTTGATCCCTATATGTTAATTACTTCTTCGGCTTCCTAGGTAGAATATTTTTCTGGTTCTTTCTTTCTTATTTCTCTGATTCTTTTTCAACCTTCCTAACTGATCCATCACTGCCTTTTCTTCTTCCTGCCAAATGCTACTGTTTTGCAATTTTTTATACCCGGTCGTCTTTTCTCTGTCTGTAAATTCCCCCTCTGCCATATCAAAGAGCTCAAATAAACTATGGTAAGGGACCCCACGTCCACATTTACAGGTTCATAAGCCAGACTAGTGTTTTCTAAAGGTTGCTTGTAATGGGCTGGGCTAGAAAGAACCTCAAGGCTGCCTGGACTCCAAGGGTCTGTGATGTCCAGTGGGCAGCCCATTTGCCTCTCCAAGTCAACATGTCCCAGACATCCCTGTGTACATGCTTCTCTTCATGGCTCTCTTATTTTGGCTAGTAGCAGCACTCTCTTCTCCATCACCTGATCACTAACGCTCAGAATCCTATCTTGTGTCAAGGACCCCCGCATCCATGCACTCACCAGGTCATTTCAGTTCTGACAACCAGGGCTCTCCTCTCTCATTTGCACTGGCAAACCAGCTCAGAGTTCTCTACTCCAGGAGCCTCCTAACCGGTCTCCCTGACTCTTCTCATTTACTAGAGTTGTAGTATTAAATTATTCTTACTATAGTTGTAGTTTTAAACTATTATAGTAATACACAGAACTATAACGTAATTTATATATGTATGTGAACACAAAATCCCCTAGTGCTCTACCAGTAGACAACTGCCAATGCTTAAATTCATGTGGTATTCTTCCATTATTCAACACATTATTGCTATCACAACACTCAAGTTCAAGTTGAAAAACAAACAGACTTACTTTTTTCCCCCAATACTTGTAACCAAATGAGAGCTGACAATTTACATCCATTCTTTTTTTGAGTGTCCACTGTAGGAACAGCCCTGTAATAGGATGGTCAAAGCTTTTATGGGATCTTTAATGGACAGGAAAACAAAGTATTCACACGGGATCCAACATGCACTCATTTGGGTAAGAGAAAAAAATCTGTTTGTGAGGTATGATGAATTACTTAGTACGACCTTTCTAGCCATGGCCTTGTAACTCCCACCCAGGTGATTGGGCTGGGCTATGCAAATAAGAGAATTGTGGCCCACCAAGGGGATTGGT